TTGTAAATTATTTTTGTTATCCACTTTTAATTTATCCACTGTCTTAGTCCATTTGGGTTTCTTTAACAAAACACCATAATCTGGGTGGAACAACAGAAATTCATTTATCACTGTTCCGGATGCTGCAAGTCCAAGATCAAGGTGCCAGCAGATTCGGGGTCTGGTGAGAGCCCACTTCCAGGTTCATAAATGACCAGCTTTTCGCTGTGTCCACAGCTGGTGCCAGGGACTAGGGAGCTCTGTGGGGACTCTATGGTAAGGACACTAACCCAATATGAAAGTTCCACCCTCAGGACTACTTACCCCCCAAAAGCCCCCACCTCCTGATACCATTACATCAGGTATTAAGTTTCAACATTGGAATTTGATGGAGGACACAACTAGTCTACAGCAAACCACCTTGTTAAATTAACTCTTTAAGTTTCTTTGGATTTTCTAAGCATCCTGTCTGTGTTGAATAGTTTTGCTTCTCCCTTTGCAGTCCTCATGCTTGTTTTCCTCCATTGTTTAAGAGAGGGGTCATAGCAGATATACCTCTCTTTCTCTTGTTTTAAAACACACACTTAAGCTACACTTTTGGCTGGTGTGGCTCAGTGGATCGAGCGCTGGCCTGCAAACCAAAGGGTCTGCAGTTCGATTCCCAGTCAGGGCATGTACCTGGGTTGTGGGCCAGGTCCCCAGTAGGGGGCGTGCAAGAGGCAACCACACATTGATGTTTCGCTCTCTCCCTTTCTCCTTCCCTTCCCCTCTCTAAAAATAAATAAATAAAATGTTGTTGTTGTTGTTGTTTTTAAAAGAATGTTGCCAAATAGTATATGGAAGAAAATCTCAATTTGATGAAGGAAACATTTCTTATATAACTTTTTAATTATATATTGAAATGTTTATCTAAGATACTATGCGGTTATCTATTTTCACTCTGACTTTACCTTAAAAGATAATATACTGGCATTTGAGTTACTTTCTATGCTTTTTTCCCTTATTAATATAGCTGCACAAGAACATTTAGGCAATATTGAGAACAAATCTCTTATTTTGGCCAATGGCGTGAGAAAAGAATCAAATTTCTGATTTTTTAGATGCTGTTTAATGGTAACATTACCTACCATTGAGTTCTGTGTTTTCCCTTGTATGTGAAAAGTATAGAAGCCCACCTCAGAGATATTTTGGGTTCAGTTCTAGACCACCACCATCAATCGAGTATCGCAATCCAGTGAGTATTCTTTTTGCTGGTGGAGGGTCTTGCCTTCAATCTATAAAACACACACTTGTGAAATGCAATAAAGTGATGCTCAGTAAAGCGAGGTATGCCTGTCGTCATTTTAATAGTAAGTATTTCTTCTACCCGAATCTAGGGCCCACTTAAAACTCTTCACCAGCAGTGATTGCTTTCAGACTGCAGCTTGGAATGGGGTATTAACTCTCAGTGCTCATATACTAATGGGTAGGTGTCATTTGAGGAAAGGAATCATTAGTGCTCACAACCTTGACCTCTTTTCCCTCCATGAGTGATGCACTGGATGTTTACAGAATATAAAGATGAAAATCCTAATTACATGAAGGGAGTGAAACTAGGCCAGTTCCTAAATGCTTTTCACCAGTAAACATGCTCATGGAGCAAGAGAGATGAGACCATTAAATTCATTTGTGTCAAGTTGTCACCATACTTGGTGCAGCACAAAAATCCCCCAAACTTGACCTCCAGGGAACAATCTTTTGACCCACTCTCCTTTTGCACTGTCTAATCAATTAGGTAAAGAAGTGAACGGTGGAGGGGAATAAACGAGTTATTCTATTTTCCCACATAAACACCAGTTTTATTCTGAATAATCACATAATTTTAAGAATTTCTTTGAAGTTTACAAAAAGTAACCCCAGTGTCATTAATTCTGGAAATTCTATTTTGTACATTAGCACTACCTAAGTTGAACTGTAACATTTCAAAAATTACAGAGCTTCTATAGATTTCATTTTTAAAGTTAAAACCATTTTATTTTTCACAATAAATGATGTTACTGAAAACTTGGTAGACTTTTAGTTGCTTTGATGATTTTTTTTAAAATAAAGATTTTATTTATTTATTTTTAGAGAAGGGAAGGAAGGGAGAGAGGGAGAGAAATACCAATGAGCGGTTGACTCTTGCATGCCCCCTACTGGGGACCTGGCCTACAACCCAGGCATGTGCCCTGACTGGGAATTGAACTGGTGACCCTTTGGTTCACAGGCCCATGCTCAATCCACTGAGCTACACCAGCCAGGGCACCCTGATAACCTTTTTAATCTTACAAATTAGCAACACATATATAATATATATAAAATAATAAGTTAGTCTAATGACTTGCATTGGAGGCCAGAGAGTTGCATTTCAGTAAACCCAAAATGAAGAGAGTTGAATTTGGATTAATACAGAGAAAGGCATGGTCTGAATGTATTGTCCTTTTTGTATTGGGTTGGCCAAAAAGTCTGTTTAGTTTTTTTCTGTAAAAGAAGATACACATTTTTTTATTTTCACCAATCACTTTATTGATTTGGACGTTTTGAGTATGTAAGCTATGCTACTATTGTCTTCTAGTGGGTAGAAGCCAGGGGTGCTGCTAAACACCTTCCAATGCACAAGACAGCTCCACAGCAAAGAATTGGTTGGCCCAAATGTTAATGATACCAAGCACCTTCACAAACCACTTTTACACACATTCTGTCAGTCACAGCACCTTCTCCATACACTGCACACATCTTTGTGTTTCAGTTGCGTTTTAACTTTTTTTGAAATAATAAAGCATAATACACTGAAGATGTTGTGCATCTTCTTCCATATTCAATATTAAAATGGCTGTGCAGAAATTCACCAATTCGGATATTTTTTAAATGCATGCTGATATGACAGGTGTCCCAATACAGTCTAACAAAACTGTTTTGAATGAAGTTAAAGACAACTAAGCACTGCTAGAGTCATCATATGGAAAAAACATAATGGACTTTTTGCCAACCGAATCTTTCCTGAAGCATCGGATGAATGGTAAAAAGTTCAAAGAGCTTCTTATTATTCTTGATTTTTGAAAGTTTCTGTTGAATATCACTGGGTTTTTCTAACATTTGAAGATAAAATTAAGAGTTCCAAGCAGCACAGAGCAAGTACGAAAAATAAAGTGCTGCTACGGGCCTCCAGGAAAGGCTGCAAGGATTTAGATTCCACTGTCATCTGAAGCAAACTATCAATGACATTAGCTAAGAGTATTTTAGATTTTGGATATTCTTAGATTAGTTAATATTACTGCCCCAGTCTGGGAGGCACAGGGCTCAGGGGAGTCCCCCTTGGAGTTGCTCTCCAGTCCCTCTCCTGCCTCACACCCCCAAGCTGGGTTTCCAGGCTGCCCCACTCTAGCCTGAGGTCCACAGTAGGCCATCCTCCCAGCAGAACTCACGGGCAATGGGCAAGGAATCCCCTATGCCCGATTTCCTATTCCCGACCCACTGAGAGGGCCCTGGAAGCTAAGCCAGTTTCCCAGAACAACCCAGCCTGGCTCTGGCCCTCCTGGCCTGTTGCCTCCACCGCCTGGTATGGGTAAGAAGGCCAAGTCAGAATCCAAGTGTCTCTGCCATGGGAAGAAGGACTGTGCCTCAAGCAGAGGGGCCTGGTAAAAAAGGAATATTCTTAAGTGTCAGTTGGCTAGTGTCCAAGTAATAGTTATTTCAGAAAAAATAACTTTCATTAGTCTTTCTTCAGGTGCTGGCTATAAACAACACCCAAGATATGTTGCATGCTCCACCTACATTTCGGAAAAGCCTAAGAATCACTTGTAGGACCTGCTTAGAACCCTTTTTTGAAAACTCTTGGGTTTTGCAATGCTTCCTTTAAGCCAAGACACGATACTTTCATAAGGACAGTTGTTAATAATAGCTGGTTAGTATTAGCAGTCGCAGAGATAAATTCCTGTTGCATCGATCCTTGATTATGATTCTGACATACGATTTTCAGGTAGCATTTCCTTAGTGACCCTGTGCATGGCTTGTTGCAATGTAGTCCAAAGTACATGACCCTCTATATTTCTTCTTTTGAAAGTTAACTGTAATGATTATTTTATATGTTTTATGTAGATTTAATGATTATGTATTTATGAATATCTCTTCCCTGCCCCTGGTTTCAACAGATTTGAATTTTATAAACCTTTACTCATATTTTCTCAGGAAAATATCCTGCATTGATAAAAAATAGTTTTTTTCTATGAAGGAAAAATTCATTTAAACTGAAAGTAGAACTCAATTTTTTTACATGCCTCATTTTCACAGGTATTCTAAAACTGTTTTTTATACTTGTGAGAAACTCAAACATTATCTTTCCAGTGCTGCATGAAAAGGCTACATTGGATTCATTGCCTGAAAATGACTCCCTAAAGAGCGAGATTATTTAATGATAACCCAGCAAATCATAAAAGTGAGAGATTTCTCCTGAGAAAGAAGCAAACGAAATCCGCCCTATAAAATACATTGAGAGGTCACTAAAAGCCCCAACAGACTCTTTGCATTGTTAAGATCCACGCGGTCAACTCCATATACAAAGGGAGGAATTAAGTTTCCCCAATAACGCCTTTTTCCCACTACTGTTCTACTGCTTTATATTTAGAGATGACAGAGGCAGTATATGAACAAGAATAAGAAAAAGTGTAAATCTGATTCCTGTTCTTTCACAATATCGCAGCTGTTTTCATTTGTGGTCTACCCATTTGTTCTGTGCGCATTCTTTTTCTGGTTGAAAAAGACACAGTATCCCGTGATGGAGCTTGTGCGATCTGTTTATTCCTTTGTGAAGCAAATGTTTAAAGATAACCATCATGTCCTGGCCTCTCCTACGGAACGCAGGACACGGGGAACAGCCTACCCGAAGAAATACCTTGACTTAGGGAGGATAGGCAGTCCAGGAATGTGCTAGGCGGGGACAAACTGCAACTTCAAGGTCCCTACTTCAGGACCCGCCCCCACCCCTGGCCCCACCCCCATCCCTCCCGGGCCCCGCCCCTGCCCGTCGCCATGTTGTTCTCTCGACGCTGGGCGGGAGCCGCTGGAGTCAGACCGTGATAGCGCTTTCTCCGCCGCGTCCAGCCTGCCCGTCTCCGACGGTGTCGCTTTCCTCATTGCCCCTGGACTGGCCAGGCCGGAGCTCGCGGACATCCTCCGTGTGGCCGGGAGGTGAGCGGGGCGCGGACTCCCTCGGGGTGGGCCGGGGGCCGGGGCCGGGTGGGTGTCATCAGCGTCTGAGCTCGCGCGGCGGCCAGCGCGGGCCGGGCCTCCAGCAGCTGGGGTGGGGGACGCGCGGGGCCTGCGCGGGTCACTTGCCACGCGGAGAGGGGCCGGCTTCTTACCCCCTGCCTCCTACGGACTGACGCAGCGGGAAAGACGGGTTCCCACACCCACACAGCCGGGGAGAGAGGCGCACGCCACCCGCGGGGACGCACTCACACACCAGCCTTTCCCCCGACCACTGGGGACACGCACCCCCACACCCCAGCCCACCCAAACCGTACCTGATCCCGAGTGGCTCGTGCGGAGAAAGCAGAGGCGCGCGCACGAGTGGACGTTGGCGACTCCTCCCGTGCTCCCTAGGTGAACCCTTGCGAACCGTCGTGGCCCCCCCCGGGTGAGGAATTTGGAATGTAAAGCCAGTCTTCAGGCTGAGGCGGTTTGGGGTGTTATCGGGTTCAGACTGGCTAAGGTTTCAGAATCGTGTTCCCTGCGCCCTTCCAACTTAGTATGTCAAGAGGCAGGATGAGAATTTTGAGTGCCGACCCAATCGTAGTGGAGGTATTGGTTTTGTTGTTTCTTTAAGTGATGGCACATCCCGTGACCACGGTTCTTTTGAGGAATGACTTTTTTGCTAGTTTCCAAATTGTCACGTGACCAACCTTTTTATAGGATTTCAGAGTCCTGATGAAACCAAATAGACAGAATTTGATTGCTTTTTGAAAATAAAAAAAAAAGCAATAGCTGCCCTCGCTGGTGTGGCTCAGTTGGTTGGAGCGCCCTCCAGTACACCAAAAGGTTGTCTGTCGGTTTGATTCCGTGTGGGGCGCGGATGGGAGGCAACGGATCCATGTTTCTCTCACATCGATGTTCCTCTCCCTCCCTTCCTGTCTCAATAAAATCCATAAACATATTTTTAAATTTTTTTCAAAGAAATTTTTTTACTTGTCTTGCAGCCTCTGCCACAGTGGTAATGGAAAATCCCTAAATTGCCTGTAATCTCAAAAAACCAGTTCATGGCGCTAAACTATAATGATGGAAGGAAACCCAGTTCTCCCGCACACTTTTAAGAAGGCTATTTTTAGGTTCTCGTTTAGAACCTTATGTTAAAGTTATCGCTGCTTCTCTAGAGCTCTCAGTATCTTATTTAGATTTCCAAATCTAAGACAGTGGTATGGCAGGCTGATGCTTTCAGTATTTTTGTGTACACATTGTAGTCAGTTCCTCTTGCTTACACTAAAAAGTTTCTGGCTTGGTGATTCATTTATTTTGGAGAGTTTTGTCACATGGGGATAGTTTTGGTGTATCATTTGTGAGATTAAAGGGGACCATGAAAATTAGCTGGAACATCTTTGGCCTTGATTCTAACTGGGTTCTTTAGGGAAATTAGGGAAATACTTCAGTACTGCTCCCCCTTTGCCAACCGCTCTTTTTGTTTCTATCTCAGGCCCGTAGTTGAATGCTACACTACTCTAGAAGCCTTGAAGGTAAGTCCCTGTGGTTTTAGAAGTTACATTGTAGCCTCCCCTCACTTCTTGGGCAGCCAGCCACTCTGGCTGGTGCTGGATGTTCTGTGTGTTCAAGTCCTGTACACACACCATTTCCTTTCATTGTCACCGCACTGCTTTGCTACTGGCTCCATTCAACAGGTGAGTGATTTGCTGGGGCCTTGGAGGGTTGGGTCTGTTTCCCCTGATCACACAGGGCAGAGCCAGGATTCAAAGCAGGCCTGTGTGAATTGACAGTGATAATCTCAAGCTGGGACTTTGGTAATGTCTGCAGGCATTTTGGGTTCACACCTGGGAGTGGGAGCTGCTGGCATCTAGTGGGTAGAGGCCAGGGGTGCTGCTCAACGTCCTACCATGTGCAGGGCAGGCCCCACAATGGAGAGTTGTGTGGCCCAAAACGTCACTAGTGCAGGGGTCCAGAAAGCCTGCTTTCCGGTGGCCTGTAACTTCAGAGCTCATGTTTCAGGGCTTATGTAGTTCTTCAAATGGAACAACACATTCCTAGTTAGGATACCCCCTCATCGTTTTTTGTTTTGTTTTGTTTTGTTTTTTGTTTTAAGAAAGAGCAAGGGGGAAATTTGAGAACTCGAAGAGATTTCCTTTGACTGAGAGACATATTTATTCATTTGAAAGATTAAGGGGTGAGCAAATAATTTCTGATAACAGTCCATTTTGTAAAAAGGATTTTACTTATTTTATTTTTACTGAGAGGGAAAGGGAGGGAGAAAGAGGGAGAGAGAAACATCAATCACCTGCCTTTTATACAAGGGACCAAACCCGCAACCCAGGCATGTGCCCTGACCAGAAATCGAGCCAGTGACCTTTTGCTTTGCAGGATGACGTCCAACCACCTGAGCCACACCAGTCAGGGCTACAGAATCCATTTTTTTAAAGGCAAAAGTGGCCAAAGAAACTCAAGAGCCATTCAGATCTGTAGAAGTAAACTTAGGGAGTTTGGTTTCTGTTACTCCAGTTGTCACCAAGCATTTTCTGAGTAGCCTGTCGTGCACCAATAGAAAACTACTGCCAATAGGAAGGGCAGTCAGGCGCTTACAGTGTAATCACAATCATAAGATCAGGTTCTGACTCGACCTAGAACAAAATTTATTGCCTGGGCTGCCCAAGGTCAGGAGCCAGGTGTCATTTAAAAAAAAAAAACCATAATAGGTGCACACGCACTCACATGTACCTGTATCACGATATTTACTGTGCGAGGGAAAGTTAGTGTGTTTTTGATAGCTTTGTAGGTTGACCACTTGTGAATATTTACAAGAATCAAACTGCATAGCCATTATTGTTGAGCATAAAAATTCTGAAATTTAGCCTCAGTAGACAATAGTTTTGCATGCATTTTATCATGGAAATCAAGACATAAATGATGAAAGTATTTTTTCTTTTCTTGCAATTTCCAGCCTGTTTTCACCACCCCCATCTAAGAGTAGGCACTTCAGTATATGTACTGCTTCATTCTGGGGGCAGGTGTACCTTTGAGGTGAACTTTGGGAGTGATTGATTGAGAGCAGGAGTCAAAATGGGCAGGCTCTGTGAAAGTGTTTGTTATTCGCACAGTCAACATGGCATCTTTTGTGGGTAGCTTTGCTTTTTGACTCATGCCGATGAACAGTGTGTTCTTTGCCAAAGAATAGATTTCTCATCAGGAGCTGTCTGCTGTGGGGTGAGAGCGGATGCTAAATTATACATCTGAAATGATTGCTATCTCATGGGATCTAACAAAGAAGTCTGCGTTTGTTTTCTTACTGGAGGGGCTCCATTCTGGAAAGGATCGATGGGAATTGGTGCAGGAAGGACATCCATGGGCCTCCGAGGAGTCTTGCTCAATCTCTGGAGTTGGCTTCTGCTCTGGCCAAATTAGGTCACCGCATTTCTCTTTATGAGATTACAGGAGACCAAGTAGAGACATCAGATTATTGGTTTCCAAGGAGTTCTGCTCCAGGCAATTTCTAGTTAAGCAGCAGGAAGAAATAAGCCAAATGGAAGTCTCTGTGCGTTTGTTTGAAATGTGTCTCACTTGAAAGCTAGCTAGGTAATAAATTTATAGTGCAAACCAGGGAAAAGAAAATAGAGCTAATGATCATGTAGGCTGTCAACAGAATATTTATCACAGAATTTTTGGGGGGGGGAATGGTGAACTCACACAGTGCCTCAGGGAGTTTGAAAAGCTCTGATGCAAATTAAAGGTCAGAATACCTGAGGGAGGGCATTTCCCACTCAGGTGTGTAGATGGACGAAGGCCTGGCTGCTTTGTGCTGGGAAGGCAAGGCGGGAGCCTGGGGGTGCTTCGGCTTATAACACAACCTGGGGGGAGAACTCTTGTTTCCCGAAGTGAATCTCAATACTGTACATGTTGTGAACTTGAGCTCTGGGATGTCCCCCATCTGGATTGTCTCATTACCTTTTGTTTTTGACCATGGTGGGCCCAGGTTTTGCAGTGCTGTTGATAATCATGAACATAGGATGATTAGATGGAAATGAATGTAAGCAAGGTAACAGCGAGATCAGCTGGGGGTGGGGAGAGACAGCTGTACGTTTTGGAAACACAGTCGAGGCTTTACTGAACCTGGCCCATTTTATCGTGGAGAGTCTGAACACAGACTTCACGCTTGTCCCAGGCCCGGTGCCTCACAAATGTGTGGCATTGTTTGACAAGGATGAAGAAACAGTGTGGCACAGGGTGATGCATTCATTTCATGGCCACGTTCGTTATCCAAGTGTGTAGCAGATGGGGTAGCAGAGCAGTGTACACTAACAAACTGCACTGTTTAGTGTAAACTGAACTGTTTTAATTTGAAATTCTTGTGCATCATGTTAAATTTTTCGGTTCAGAGGCTAAGGTAGTTTTTGGGTTACTTCTCCTAAGAGTGGTTGTGTTATCAGTGTGAGAGAAGCCTGAAAAACAACCTTACGGATTTCTGTTTTGAGACCTTGCTCTGTAAAAGTCTAATGGAGGAGCATTTAAATGATTTAACAGGCTCAAAAGAGTTAGGAGTCACTAAGCTATGTATGCTGTAAGGCGGCCGCTCCAGTCTTTCCAGCTTCAGGCTTGTGTAATGAGAGCAGCGATTAGATGAACATGCCGAAAAATACGAAGCACTGTGGGTTAGTCAGAAGTCACAACAGAACAACAGACACACTGTGTGAGGACCAGACATTAGTAAATGTAGAACACTCTCTGGATTTGTTTATTTATATATTTTTAAAGATTTTATTTCTTTGTCTTTAGAGAGAGGGGGAGGGAGGGAGAAGGAGAGAGAGAAACATCGATCGGTTGCCTCTTCACACGTGCTCAGTCCAGGGACCAAACCCACAACTCAGGCATGTTGCCCTGACCAGGAATTGAATGGTGACCTTTTGCTGTGCAGGATGATGCCCAACTAACTGAACCACACCGGTCAGGGCGAGCATCAGTCTTTTGAAATAAAATTTCATGAAAAGTTGTTTTGGAGCAAAGAGCTGCCACCCTCACGCCCCGTTCCACACTAATATTTGCATAGTATTTGAGTTTTTATCACACCAACCCTGGAAAACCAGCTTTGCAAAGGGATGATGTCATTGAAAGGAATGTGGTGCGATCTCATGTTGGAACTGTGAACTACTTCAAGCGCCAGTTTGCATGGTGTCCTGCAAAATGCCCAGTACCTCTGTGGTTCCCTCAGAAACTTAAAGCAGCCAGCCCGGTCTCTGTTTTCTGTGCAGACTGCCCCTTGATCCCCTCTCCCTCATTGTCCATAGTGTTTTGTTCCCATTTTCTGCCACTCACGCTTTAGGAAGTAGAGCTGGTGGAGAAAGGCCTCGGTGCAGAGCAGTGCTCGTGGAGTCTCCACCCTTTTGGAGAAAACCTCGCGCTTTCATTCAGCGCTGGCTGGCTTGTCTCAGTAAGTGTCAAGAAGTGCATTAGGGTTCCTGGTCTCTTCAGTTTGTCACTAGTGGACCATTTATTTTCCATTTTCTCAATTTTGTTGCTGTCTCTCATCTGTGGTTCCTTCTTATAGTCCTTTTTGGATTTGTACATTTTTTTAGTCCTGTCGTTTGGTGGGAGTGAAGGTAAGACCTGTTTGACCTGCCCTGTTTCGACTAGGAGAAGTCGTTTAGTCTTCGTGAACTTGCATGTATTGATCTGTAAAACATGGGTGATAATATCCAACTTGCAGGTGATTTGAAGGCACTATATGCCTAGCAGATATTTAGTAAACAGTGGTAGCTCATGTTATTCCCATCATAGCATTTGTTATGTGAAAAACAAGACAATAGCAATAGGTTAGGATGGTGGACACATTTCTTGTGTGGCAAATAAAGTGGGTAAGACAGAAGAAGAAAGATTTTTTTTAAGCAAGAGATTTTGTAAATGGGGGAAATTATTAGCTTGGTTTTAGAGATGTTGAATTTCAATGCCATCAGAGTACCAGGGGAGACATATTATAAAAGGGGTTGGAATTCTTGCCTGGCCCCCAAGGGGTGAGAGGGTGGAGATGGATTTAGTTTAGAAAGCACTGGTTTTATATCCCAGGGAGATATGGTTTGGGAAGACAAAAGGCTTCAACCTTGCCATATGCAACGTTAAGAGTGTGTTAGAAAAGGGAGCCACCTGGTTGCAGAGAGCTAAAGGGGTGAAAGGGAGAGAAGGTGGAACTTATTGTCAAGGGTAGTTTTATGGATGATTAAGTAGGAAGCATTTTCAAGGTCACTGCTGGGTTTCGGCTGCAGCTGAGTCTGGCTAAGACTGGAAGGTCTTATGCTTCCAGCTACAGGTGTGATACTTCGCAAGAGTCTGTCCCAGCTGGGCCTCCAACTTATTGCCTTATTTGTTTAAAAAAAAAATGCTTGCTTGGGGCCTTGGGATGTGGTTGTTGGCAATGCATTTTATGGTGGGGTCTTGAATTCAATGATAAAATGTAAATTACAATAAGCCCAGAATTACAGGTTTCTTTACTTTCACTAAACAGGGAATTGAAATACATGGCACCAAAAAAAAAAAGTGGTAAGATTATTTTTAAATGAAATGGACAGAATATTCAGTTTAATTTTCCATCTATGATGATTTCACAGTAAAATCCTAGTTTCCTTTTAAAAAACCAAACTAACCAAAAATGCCGCAGTATCCTTTTGAGATTTTATGTCATGTACATCCAGGCACTGGCTACATCTGAGGGAATTGACTGTCTACTCCAGTGAGGACACTGGTTAACTGTGAGGGTGTTTTCTAGAAGCATACACTGTGAAGTCCTAAGAGAAGCACTTTTCTCTTTATTCACTTTGGGGGTACATATGCCTTAAGCCATTTAGATGGCGCCTGAGGAGGAGCCTTTGGATTGGCCATTAGGGGTCGTTTGGTGACTTCTGCATATATAGGAGTCGGGGAATAAAGTTGGGAGCACATGTGTAGTGAGCAGAGTAGAGGGTTGACGGGGCGTAGACGTGAAATGGTAGTGAGGACACAGGAAGTTTTGGGTTGGGAAGCTTTTTATAAGCCAAGTCAGCTTCATTACCTTAGATGGGGGCAAACAGGCATCATTGTTAGAGAAGTGGGATGAAGTGAACTTTCTGGAAAGCTACTCTTACATTCTCACTTTGACCTGGTGACCACTTTTCTGCAGAATGGGAACCTTTAATCTAGCTGAGTCCTATAGGCCACACATAGAGCCGTCCTCTTGAAATATATCTTGGGAAATTTCCACTTACTTAATTTCTCTAATAGCCAAGAAGTTCCACATTGCTGTGGCTTTGTGCCTCGAGGGCAGTGTTTGTATACTAACTCTTTCCTGTGTTTGTTTGGAACTTCTCCAGCCCTTACACTTTTCTGCACCAAATTAAAGACATCAAGTTTCTTATCTAACTAGAGAGGAGGCAGATCCAATGTTTCCTTAAGTGACAGCAGATCATGTTTAATTAGTGTTCTCACATGTGTATTCGAATTCATTTTTTTACAGTGTGTTGTTCCTGAAAGAACAGCCTAATTCCCAGTATTATATTCCTATATTGTGATCTTTATCTGTTTTTTTTTTTTTGCATTTTAGTTCTGCCCCTCAAAGTGATACATTAAACAACCCAACTCTTTTCTTTATGGACAAACATTTTAAGTGCCTTTTATAGGTAAGTGTCCTATTATAGGTAGAATCTTCACCCTTTCTTCTTTTAAGGACCCCATTAAACATGACAGAGAACAAAACATCTTTACTTCCAGGGTTAGCAGTTTCCCCTGAGTCTGTTCGCTGAACCATCACGGTTCATGGTTGTAATATTAATGAGGTCTCATGACTGGGGGAGGGAAAGGGAAATAGTGAAGCTGAGTAAAGATGAGAGTTTGGAGAGTGTTATGAACTACACAAATGGATCACACGTAATACACGAATGATGCAGACATGTATTGACCATTTCTTGGAGGTCCAGGTTCCTTTAGGAATCTGATGAAACCTTTTTTACTCTTTCCAGAGAGGAGCTGAAGCTCACATGCTTCCATCCGTAACTCATCCTGATTTCACATGCAGTTCCAGGTGCATTTATCCCCTGTGGCTCCTTCACGGACTTCCAGTTAAGCACACTGTGTATGTATACTGTCCAATAGGTACCAATATAAATTTAAACTAACTGAAATGAAATAGAATGAGAAAATCAGATCCTCAGTTGGACCAGCCACATTTCACGTGCTCTGTAATGACGTGAGGTTAGTGGATGCTGTATTGGAAGCACAGCTAGAGAACGCTTCCATCACTGCTGTCATATTGCTGCTCTTCGTTTTCAGGATAGTGTAAGGTTGATTGGGTTGGCCAAAAAGTCCATGTGGTTCTTCTCTGTAAAATAAAAGACGCGATTTTCATTTCCACCAATAACTTTATTGACCTGGATATTTTGAGTATGTCGGCTATCTCCCGCTATTGGCTTCTAGGGGGTAGAGGCCAGGGGTGCTGCTAAACATCTTCCAGTGCATAAGATAGCCCCACAGCAAAGAATTATTTGGTCAAAATGTCAGTGGTACCAAGGAACTTCACAAACCACTTTTGACATGTTCAATCTGTCACAGCACCTTCTCCATGATGGCACAAATCTTTTTTTGCATTTCAGTTGCGTTTTTACCTTTCTTGAAATAATAAAGCATAATATGCCCAAAACGTTCCATATTTTCTTCCCTCTTCAATATTAAAATGGCTGCACAAAAACTCACCAATTTTGATAAGTTTTTTTTTAAATGCTCGCTGATATGACAGCTGTCACAATACAATCTAAGACAATTTTCAAATGAAGTCAAAGACAACTAAGCAACACTAAAGCCTTCATACAGAAAAAACGAAGTGAGCTTCTTGGCCAACACAACGGTTCCTTAACCAAATCTGTTTTTTCCTCTTCTCTTTCCTACTCTCTCCACAACTATTAGTGATTAGTTAGTAAACCCAGCTCTACAGACATGCCTTGTTTTAAGGAAAACTGTGAGTATGTATTTCCTAAAAGTTTCATTATATGACTCATCTTCACAAAAGAAACATAATGAAATGAGTTCTTTAAATATTGTAGGCTGAGCCGCACTGATGTGATGTGTGGTTTGATTTCAGTTTTTTTTCCTTCTCTAGCCGTGTGTGTGAGGTAGTGCTCAGTGATCCTCTGGATAATTTATTTCATCTGTCTGGTTGTGCCTCTGAGTTGGTCTGTTCCAGTGGTGTTTTGTTTAATTCTTCCTTCCCAACCCGGCCGACTTCTTGTAGTAGAGGCAGACTTAATGACTTCCTCGACTTGCTTCTTGCTCATACATTTCAGCAGGACAGTTGCAAAGACTTAGAGATGAAGAGTGGAATGAATTAGGCTAAGCAAGACACACCTATATTAAGATATTAATAGGCGGGTTAGCAACAGGGGAGTGGGAGGAGGAGAAGGGGGGAGAAGGTACAGAAAATAAGTAGCATAGACAGTAGATAGAAAATAGATAGGGGGGAGGGCAAGAATAGCATGGGAAATATAGAATCTAAAGAACTTCAGACACATGGACATAAACTAAAGGGGGGGTAATGGTGGGGACGGGGGGGTAGGGTGGAGGGGAATGAAGGGGGGAATAGAACAACTGTAACAGCATAATCAATAAAAAATTTAAATAAATAAATAAAAATTAAAAAAAATATTATAAGGAAGTAAGTACAGCTCCAGTGAAAAGTGAAATAATTTAGAGGTTATCCATGTTTTTATTTCCTCGATTAGTTTCTTTGAGCCTCAGTTTCTTAATTTATGAAATGAAATCAGTGATATGCCTCTAACTAGGACACTCAGGGTGAATGCAAAAGGAATGCATGATTTTGAAAAAAAATCTGTTCCTAAATTTATACCAAAAGTGATAAATTCATTTTAAGTGTTTGGAAGTAAGAACTAGTCAGGGGCCACAGAGTATGTGTTTCAAAACTTGACATTTTGAGGAAAGCAGTACACAAATGCAACCTGTTCTCCCTTTGGCTGCTTGTTAGAGGAATGTTGTTTTTCTCAACCACCAGCTCCCCGTTGCAGTCAGTAGTACTTATTTTAAAGTGCTTTTCTTATTAGACTTGCAAGTAAGAATTGATTTTTTTGTCTCTTCCCACGCATTTTAAGAGACCTCAAAAATAGAATGGGGGAAGAACTGATTGATTAGAGAAACAAAGAATTGTAAGTATGGAAAGTACAAGTGGAAGAATAAAAATAGAATAACAAGAATAAAGGAGGAAGTCATTTACTCCGTTCTCAGTTTAGCACTTCTTTGGTACCTCACCATCTGTAAAACTTGGTGAAAACTGTTGCAGAACAATGAAAGAAGAAATGAATGATGGCATGACGTGTTGTGTGTCCTTCCTAGGGAGCTGAACAGACTCATACACAACTGATTGGTTAGGGCGTAAGCGAATGAGAGCCGAAACAGAGGTAGAAATGATTAGGGCAGAGAAAGATTAGGCAGGGGAGGCGCAGGCTTCCTGGGTGAGGGATCTAAACTAGGCCTTTGGATGACTAAGATTTTCATAGCTGTCCAGGTATAGGGAGGGGCCTCCCATGCCAAGATAAGGGCCCGATCAAAGGCGGGACAGTAAATGCCTGTGATAGGTTTGGGGATGGTGACCTGAAGGGATATAATTGGGACAGGCTTGTAAGTGAGGTTGGATAGCTCTTTGAATGCCCTGCTCAAAATGCTGTATAATAAAAATAATGAAGAAATAAATGGGTTTAGCTATCTGTAAGAATGGAGACAATTAGATCTATGACCAGTAAAAATGTCTATCTTTTTTTTAAAGATTTTATTTGTTTATTTTTAGAGGGGAAGGGAGAGAGAAAGGGAAACATCAATGTGTGGTTGCCTCTCACCTGCCCCCTACTGGGGACCTGGCCCGCAACCCAGGCATGTGCCCTGACTGGGAATCGAACTGGCGACCCTTTGCTTTGCAGGCCAGTGCTCAATCTAGTGAGTCACATCAGCCAGGGCAAAATGTCTATCTTTAATTAAACATTCCTGTTAAAGATTTCTCCATGCTCGAGTCTGAGTCCCTGTTGGTTTATTGTGGTATATGGCTCTGGAAACCAGCAAGGGGTCTAAGGGAGGCCAGAGAAAAGGTTACTACCGATAAACTATCCATAAACAATTGATGGTCCAGGATAAAAGTCCACAATAGAAGAGTTGGAAAAGTAGTATTAAGAAAAGGAATGGGTTGACATACAGTGCTCTTTTTTTGTCTTTAGTTTTGCAGTATCTGCTGAAAACATGGTTCATTTTCTTTCCTGCCAATGACCTACTTATCCCGGTTCCCACTGAGATTAGTGTGTGTGCCATATAGGTGTGTTGGTGCCAGCACATGGTATTGTAATCCTAAAATAGTGTCTGTTGTGCTTGTAACTGGTTTATGTAAAAGGACAGTGTTGCAGGGACAAGGAGATTATTTGTGGCTCTGTAAAATCTAGTTTTAGGGTCTTTTTGCTAATAAGACTTTGGGCCATGTATGTGTATATCCATAAATCTATCTATATCCATAAATCTATCTAACTTACCATGAACTCCATCTTTTTAGTATATGAGATCTGTCCAGAATGTGTCTAACCATGTAATATGAAAAATGGAGACATTTATCAAAGAAGATACAAGGTACAAGAAACATTGTACAGGGGATAATGACACGTCAGCCCCTTTCAAAGTAGCCAGCTTGGGACCTCACACACCTCTCCCAGTCACCATCAGCTGCCCATGTTGTATTTTCCTGAATCTCATCGATGGTCTGAAATCTCTTCCCTTTCAAAGGTGACTTTGGTTTTGGGAAAAGCCAGATGTCGTAGGGCGCCAAATCTGGGCTGTAGGGAGGCTGAGTCACCTGGGTGATTGGATGTTTTGCAAAAAAACTACATGAAATGTGACACATGAGTGGGCGCATTATTGTGATGAGCTGCCGACCACCAGGCGCTCATAGCTGCAACCTTCCGAATGATCCAAATAGTTTCCACGGAGGAATGTTCAAGCTTAACGCAACGTTTGATGCGGGTTTGTTGCTCTACTCAGTGACTACTAGTACAGTGAAGTCATCGTTGTTTGCATATGTGCATTCCAGTCCACTCTCCTTGGCTGCCTTGATGTTGTGCAAACCTTTCTTGTTATAGTAACAGTGGTGGGCCTTTTCTCAGACAGACCTCACACACAATCAGCGGTTATTAGTATATTCACGAAGTTGTACAGCTGCCCCCACTCTCTAATTCCAGAATATTTTCACCTTCCCCCCAGAAGGAACCCTGTACACATTAGCAGTCACTCCCTGTTTATGTCCCCTACCCCGACATTCCCTGAAACCACAGATCTGCTTTCTGTCTATGGATTTCCCTATTGTGAACATTTCATACAAACTGGATTATATATGTGGCTGTTTGTGTCTGGCTTCTTTCACTTATTATAATGTGGTTAGGGTCCATTCTTGTTGTAGGATCAGTACTTCATCCCTTTTTAATGGCTGATTAATCTTACATTGTATAGATATGCCTATTACCCATTAGTTGATGGACATTTGGGTTGTTTCTGCCTTGGGACTATTATCAATAATGCTGCTATAAACATTCACAAATCTGTTTTTATGTGGACGTATGTCTGCATTCCTGTAGGTATATGCCTAAGAGAGGAATTGCTGGCTCATATGGTAACTCTATGTTTAAATTTTGAGGAACCACCAGGCTGCTATTCATTATCATTGCATCATCTTACATTCCCATCAGCAGTGTATGAGGGTTACCGTTTCTCCACAACCCTTTCAACACTTGTTATGATCTGTCTTTTTGATTTATAGACATCCTAGTGGGTGTGAAGTGATGTCTTGAAGTTTTTATTTGCATTTCTCTACTGGCTATTGATGGTGACCATTTTTTGTGAATTTTTAAGTTGGGTTATTTATTCTCTCTTTTTTTAAGATTTTCTTTATTTATTTTTAGAGAGAGGGGAAGGAGGGAGGGAGGGAGAGAAACATTGATGCGCTGGAGAAACATCCACTGGTTGCCTCTTGCATGCCCCCAAGCGGGGACCTGACCCACAACCCAGGAATTGAACCTATAACCTTTCAGTTCGCAGGCCAGCACTCCGTCCACTGCACCACACCAGCCAGGACAGGCTATTTATATTTTTTTATTGATTAGTTGTAAGAGTACTTTATACATTGGATACAAGTCGCTTATCAGATACTTGGTTTCCAAATATTTTCTCCTATTCTGTATGTTGTCTTTTCACTTTCTTGGTAATGTTCTTTTAAGCACAAACGTTTTTAATTTTGGTGAGGTTTAATTAATTAATGTTTTGTTTTGTTGCTTGTATTTTGGGTGTCATATCAAGTTATTTTTAGTATAATCAGAGTTGTAGGAAAGTTTAGGAAACAATTGTTCCTGAGGTCTGGTGCACAGCAGCATTCAAAGAAGATTTAAAAGAAGATGATTTTGCCCTGACTGGTATGGCTGGTTGGCATCATCCCATCGACCAAAAGGTCTCCAGTTCAAATTCGGGTCAGGGCACATGCCTGGGTTGCGGGCCAGGTCCCTGGTTGGGGGCATGTGAGAGGCAACCAATTGATGTTTCTCTCACATATCAATGTTTCTTGCCCTTTCTTTCTTCTTCCTTTTCTCCCACCCTTCCCCTCTCTCTAAAAATAAATAAATCAATAATCTTAAAAAATAAACAATTTCTGTTGCATTTAATTGCAGTATTCAGTCAAGCTAGACTTTAACTGAAAACGAAGATATTGATCCATTTTCATACAGTTTTGATATTTTTTAACAAGTATGATTTTGCCACCAAATCAGAACTTTGAAGATTGAACTTGGTTTTGGTTATTTTATGTTTTCTTGAAGACTTTAATATAAATCTGTATGCTTTTACATGTTGTGGTCACTGTGTGCCTGCTACTTGGGTTTATCACTCGGCAGTGTATTTCTATAGTCTCATATCTCCATATAGACATTTAGGTCATTTCCAGAAATCCTTCCTTGGCTTCTAAGGCCCTGCCTACTCCAGGCTTCACTCCCTTTGGTCCCATCCACACAGAACTTTCCTCTCTCTCTGGACTCCAGGTACTCGGGCCTACCCTAGACTTGCCCAGTGTATGCCAGGCTGCCTTGGCAGGACCTTGGCCTGGGCTGGTCCCTCTTCCTGGTGCTGGCTCCCTCTGCTTTTCTCACGTTTTCTTCTGCCACTGAACTCAGTTTGTAGTCAAACCCACATTCCCTGGGTCACCTATAGGGAAGCAGACCTTGGTGAGGCCATGCTCTAAGTCCACACGTGGTGAAGGTGATCATTGAGACATCGCTTTGGGACAGCCTGCACTGGAGACTGGTGTGTAGTCTCTCACTAACACTGTTGAACACACCCAGTTTTCCTCCGGCATTGGAAGTTACCGCTTTTCCTTTGACCGAGTGGCAGGTGAAGTAGCTGACTATGTTACAGAATCGTGGTGTAGGAAATGGACACTGTCCCCCCATGGGTGGAATCACACACAGCTCTGGGGTACTCCTGAGATGCTCGGACAAGGGGCAGGTTTACACATTGCATCTGTCACCAAGGGCGATGCTGGGTAGAATCCCCTGTACTGTTGAGGTAGTTCTTCGGTTTTGGAGTGAGTGAAAATAGCTGTATTTTATAGCAAGTACAGACTCTCATTTGTAGGACTCACCACGGTTGTAATGCCATGGCTGTGGGTGTGGATCGTCACCTCCTGTCTACCAGCTCCCAGAGACTGGGTATGGGCTTGCATGCTCAGCACCTGGTGCACAGTAGGCGCTGAGACTGGGTGTGGCTTCCATCCTCGGTGTCTGGCACACAGTAAGCACTCTCTAAGTGCTTGTTGAAAAACTGCTTTCCCACCTCTGGGGTGGCACTTTATAGAGTTCTGCAAACATTTGCTTGATGTTTCATTTAAAACATGTTTCAGCTATTAAAACTCTAATAAAACTTAGGTACACTCGGATGTGCTTTATGCTACATACCAATGGGTCACCTGCTGTCTGCTTAACTTCATTTTGTGCAGATTTTGCAATAAAGTGAACATTTGAAAGACTTACCATTGCAACTGCTTATTTTCATTGTACCCACGACAGCAACAGGAAAACCCTCGGAAATAAATGCGAAGGCACCTGAGCCTAGTGGGCTAAGTGCTGGGGTTTAGAGAAGTGTGCCACATTTTTTTAAAGTCATTTCCACCTTTTACTAGCTGTCTGACTTTGAGCAAGGTGCGCCACTGCTCTGAGTCAGTATCCTCATCTACAGTGTGGGGATACAGAGAGACCTGGGAGGAGTGAACGCACTGAAGCACAGTAAGTGGCTCTTAGGGCTTAGTCAGTGTTGGCCTTGTCGTCACCACAGGCGCACCTCATGTTACTGCGATGTGCTTTATTGCACTTCAAAGATACTGCAGTTTTTTACAAATGGAAGGTTTGTGGCAACCATTAGCAAAAGGAGTATGACTCGCTGAAGGCTCAGGAAATGGTTAGCATTTTTTAGCAAGAAAGTATTTTTTTATTAAGGTATGTACATTGGTTTTTTAGACATAATGCTATTGCACACTTAATATATTACAGTATGGTGTGAACGTGACTTGTATGCACTGGGAAACCCCCCAAATTCATGTTACTTGATTTGTTGTGATGTTCACTTTATTGCTATGGTCTGGAACTGAACTCTCCATATCTCTGAGGTTGCCTGTATTATTACTACTATTTTATTCTTAACTCCAAAATATCAAGGTTTTGGAGTCTCATTGTTTTCATTGATTGAATTGATAAGTTAAGAACTGCTGTATGTAAGTCCCACAAAAATGCCTTTTACTTTAAGGGAGGCGGGGGTGTGAGTTTAGACATTGGTTTAGACAGAGAGAGGCTGGTGCTTTAGCACAGGGAAACCTTCCCATTGGATTTCATCTCTAGGGCTGGGAACCTTTGGCTTCCCTTGTCTGCCTGTAATAATCCTCTGATTTGTTCCACCCAGAACTCTCACTGAAATTTGACTGAAGAAATGGCCATAAAAGAAACCTTTCTGTAATACCGCCAGTAAAGACTTCTTCCTGTATTCATTCCACAGAAACTTCCCTCACTCTTATGATGAGCCTGGCACAGTGCTGAATCTCTCTCCTCGTTGTCCGCATCTTCAGTGAATCTTTCCAAAAGTTCAAGAGGTAGGTACTATTGACCCCATTGTCCTGCGAGCTTCAGGATGTCAAGTAGATTGTGTGTGGGTCAGCGTTCTTGGCCTTCAACACCGGGAACCAGTTCTCTTTTCTGATAGTGGCTTTTATTTGCTTCACCAGAAAGTTTTCACCTTGGCTGTGGCTGTCCAGAAAGAAGCTTCACGACACTCTTTGCTGCCTTAGCCCAACTTTTCCTGTGTCCCCTTGGGGCCCTTCCCTCTTACGGCCTTTTTTTTTTCCTTCTTTGTGTTAGCATTAGTTCATTCTCTGGAATGTGGTTATTCCAAGCCACTAAAAACTTGGGCAAATATTGAAGAGTGAATGAAATATTATACATTTCATCTTAACAAAATTTTATAGCTGTCCGAGTGAAACTTGGAAAAGAAGAGTAGGCAAGTAAAATACTTCTAGAAAAAAAAAAAACAACAATGATTAAAGTGTAGTATTTGACTCCAGAAGTTTTACACTGAAAAAGGTCATGAGCAGCTTTCAGGTTTAATATCCCCTTTAAATTAAGAATTTAGCCCTGACTGGTGTGACTCAGTTGGTTGGGCATCATTCTGCAAAGCAAAAGGCTGCCCGTTCGATTTCCGGGCAGGGAACATGCCTAGATTGCGGGTTTAGTCCCCGGTTGGGGTGTGTGTGAGATGCAACCGATCTATGTTTATCTCTTACATCAATGTTTCTCTCCCTCTTTTTCTCCTTCCATTCCCTTTTCTCAAAAAATAAATAAAATCTTTTTAAAAAAGAAAGAATTTAGCCTTGGCTGGAGTGGCTCAGTGTATTGGGCACTGGCCTGAAAACCAAGGGGTCACTGGTTCGATTCCCAGTCAAGGCTCATGCCTGGGTTGTGGGCCAGGTCCCCAGTAGGGGGTGTGCAAGAGCCAACCACATATTGATGTTTCTTTCCCTTTCTTTCTCCCTCCATTCCCCTCTATCTAAAAATGAATAAATAAAATCTTTAAAACAAAAAGAATTTAGCTGCTAATGGGAGGTCACATCTTCACATTTTAATTCTTGTGTCTACTCTTAAAATTATGAAAACAGATTGCATGTACATTGCTGAGCTGAGCTTTCTAATTTTTTCTTTGCAGATGATGATACTTGAACTGAACAATTAAGGTTATGACCTATGTAGTATGCTTTTCTTATTCAGATTTCCTTATAGAATTTAGTTGAATTGCTAAAATTGTATTTTAACCTTGGTGAAGATTGTTGCATTTGGGCAATCATTCCAAACCGTGGATTATAAAAGACTTGACATTATATTGTAAGGTAAGTTCAGAAAATAACGTAGAGGATATTTTTATTCATTCAGCTTATACTAAAGACGTTTTGAAGGATTTTATTGTTTTTACAAAAGAAAAAGGAAACATTTTATATGTCTGTAAACTGATTATGGTTATGTATAGATTGTATGAAACTACTTTTTGTTAGATGTCATTGGGGCATGAGACGGTTATACAATGATCTACATCACCATGTATGTTTATATACAACACTCTAGTTAGAATCAGAGAGGTATGTGTGTATTTATTGTTTTAGTCAATGCCAGCATACTTCCAAACAGGATATCTGGAAGGCCCCAAATTTTAGATGGGAAACAAAAGCATTGTGCCCTAATTCCTGATATGTGAGTCTAGCATTCTTCACATTTGGTTGGTCAGAATAATGTCACAGACTAGGAAATCCCGCATCACGAAAAAAGAAAAGAACTAACAATGTGCCATGACAAAGTTATAAATGACAAATGCCAGGGGACTTCTAAGGCTGTATTTGGTAGACATACACAGCCAGTCATCTGAGTGGAGGTTGTTGGATTGCATACTCTGGTTTATAATTGGATGTAGAGAATCTAACAATTCAGGGCTGTGCAATGAAACTCTGTATCTGGTAAGGCAGTTATAGACCTATTAAAGTACTGGGATACATGATGGACTAGAATTACGCACATCTGTTACACAACTTGGTCCTTTTGTGTTCACATGGCGTAAGCATTGTGTGGGAACCTTGGGATGGGGGCTGCTGGGGACGGGTTCCAGTGTTGGCGGTGACCATGCTGAGCAGATCTGAGGGCCCAGTGGTCAGTTAGTGGTGAGTTAGGTGGAGCGGGCTGGGATCACCAGCGGAGGGACAGTCTGTGCCAGGGCGAAGGCAAGGGAAGGGGTGTGCGCTGAGCAAGTGGAGTTGAATTTCAGCTGCATCTGACTGTGCTTTTCCAAAGGACTGAAGCCAAGAATGGGGAGCAGGGCCAAGTGTCCTGCCTTGGAAGTTGGACTTGGACTCGCATCTGTGGAGAACTACTGAAGAATGTTAAGGAGGGGGCATTGAACAGTTACTTTCCCTAAGCCAGAATAGTCAGTGTGCTCTCTTGGTTTTGTTTCTCCTTTTTCTGTTAAGTTGAAGTTATTTCAGCAAGATTGCAAAGAATTAAACAAAGGAACCTGTTTAGTACTTTGTTATATAAGGCAGGAAATTAAAAGGCTTGAGACTGGTTCAATGTCTTCTTTAACATTTAGTCTGTGCATTGGGCTGAGTGATCCATTGGCAGTCAGAACTCTCCAAGAGGTATGCACCCTAAGTGCTTTTGTTGACCAATTTAAATTGCATTAATTATTAGTGGTAATTACTATAGTAGTAATTGAAAAGAGTCAGTAGGAGTCAGGGACAAGTTGCTACAGGTTTTACCAGAGAACAGTACATGGCATGTATTTGGAAATACAGAATTCTTGCACGTTATAGGAAGTGTTCAGTTACATTACCCTGGGTCACAGCTGCATATAGCCAGGAGATAGTCAGATAATGTTTACTGCAGCAAATTCATCCTAGTAACACCACAGCTATTGTTTATGTCTTTATTACCTTCCCACTGAGGGATTCATAACATCTACGCTTATGTTCAAGGTAATTACCATTTTTGTTCTGGAGCTGTGCTGTCAAATATAGCTGTTGGCCCTCTAAATATGGTTATTCAAATGAGTTCAAGTTAAATACAGTTTAGAATTCAGTCCCTCACTCCCCACAGCCCTACGCCAAGTGCCTCACAGCCACGTGTGGCTGGTGGCTGCCTTCAGACGGACACCGTTGGTCGGGGATGTGGCCACCACTGCAGCAAGTTCTATTGGTGCTAATGGGAAGCCTGTCTTCTTTTATAACTGTTACTTATAGATTAAGTGATAGAATGTAAATCCCAGTAACTGGGGAGAAGGGAGAATTGGGTGTTAAGGAGGAAATAGGATTCACCACAAGTTGATAATTGGTGTCAAGGTAGGTTTAGGGTCCATGGGGCATCATTTATTATTATTATTATTATTATTATTATTATTATTATTATTCAGAAATGTTATATATGTTTGAAATATTCCCTAATGAAGAATTAAAACAGGAGCTTACACGGGGACAACACTTAGAAGCAGCCGTCTATAAATGGGCAGCTGAAATCCCTCCCGCCAGGCTGGTGCCTGGAGTGTAGGAAAGGGTTTAATCCTGCCACACGGTTTCCCGAGCACCATGTTTCTATTTAAGGTACTTGATTCCCCCTGGAAACTCACAAGTAACAGCACAGGCTCGCACTTGTTAAGTTGGAACTGCCCAAATGAGTCTTGTGGGTAGAATGTGCTGTATTACAATATTATATTAAAAATTCCATGCCCTGGCCTGGTAACTCAGTTGGTTAGAGCGCTGTCCCGATACAAGGCTGCGAGTTTGATCCCTTGTCAGGGCGCATACAAGAATCAACCAATGCATATGTAAAAATAAGTGGAACAACAAATTGATGTTTCTTCCCCTCTCCCCCTCCCCATCTTCTCCCTCTCTCCCCCCTTCTCTTTCCCTCTCCTCCTTTCTCTCTCTCAAATCAATATAAAAAATAAAATATAAAAAATCCCATTGCTACTGACATAATTTTGGCAAACTCAAAGTAGTGTTCCTAATGAAGAGAATAGAGTTCATTTACTCAGTGTTTGGCTTATTTTTGTTCACTGCCAAATCAGTCAGCTTCTGTCTCTGGTCTCCCGGTTACCAGCTCCTATGGTGACAGCATTGGCAGAGAAGAAGCGGGTGTCCTTGAGAAAACCCCTGGCAGGGGGGGAAAGCCATAGGGGAACACTGTCACTGTCACCAAAGGCTGTTTGAAGTTGTCACAGAGACTTGCCTACTTCAGCCTCCCACTGCGTCTCTAACAAATGGTGGCAGGGCTTTTTTATGAGTAGAGAGAAACAGTGGAGAGTAAGGTGCCGGGGGTCAGTGAGACTTGGCCTTGAGTGCCAGCTTCCATGAGCTGAGACCCAGAGGAGGGGCAGAGTGAGCCCTCACCAGCTGTCACGGGGGCGGTGGTGGACTGTGCCTGCCGCATGGTGCAGTGCTCCCTAAATGGCAGCTCTCGCTGTTAGGTTGTCTCCGTGCAGAGAGTCATCGGGGCGCTGCGTTTATTTCTCTTAAATGCTGTTATGCATAGAGTCCTGTAGAGCAGAGCACAGGTCAAAGGGGATGTAACGGTACCTTTTTATTTTACAGGCTTCTGAAGTCAAAGATCTTGAGATTAATAATGGCAGGAAAATCATCCCTTTTTAAAGTAATTCTCCTTGGAGATGGTGGAGTTGGAAAGAGTTCTCTAATGAACAGATACGTGACTAATAAGTTTGATGCCCAGCTCTTCCATACCATAGGTGTGGAATTTTTAAATAAAGAGTTGGAGGTAGATGGACATTTTGTTACCATGCAGATTTGGGACACGGCTGGTCAAGAGAGATTCCGAAGCCTGCGGACACCCTTTTACAGAGGTTCTGACTGCTGCCTGCTCACTTTTAGTGTCGATGATTCTCAAAGCTTCCAGAACTTGAGTAACTGGAAGAAAGAATTCATATACTATGCAGATGTAAAAGAGCCCGAGAGCTTTCCTTTTGTGATTTTGGGTAACAAGATTGACATAAGTGAACGGCAGGTGTCTACAGAAGAAGCCCAAGCCTGGTGCAGGGACAACGGCGACTACCCTTACTTTGAAACGAGTGCAAAAGATGCCACGAACGTCGCAGCGGCCTTTGAGGAAGCAGTTCGAAGAGTGCTTGCCGTGGAGGATAGGTCAGACCCCCTGATTCAGACAGACACTGTCAGTCTGCACCGAAAGCCCAAGGCCAGCTCCTCTTGCTGTTGATCAGTAGGTTGCCCATCATTCTAACCAACTCACACATACACGCAGATAAACACGCGGGGAGAAGAGAATTAGCATTTGCAGCAGTGGGTCATCTACTCATAAAATGAAACTAATCACATTGCTGCTTCATGATTGGGTGGGGGAAGGGACACACCACTCGCAGAAGAACCTATTTACTCAGTAATGGCATCTTACATTTATAAATTGTAACGGTTGTCTAATAACATTTAATTTAAATATGTAAGTTACAGTGCTAATAGATGACCAAGACTTTAATTCTGATTAAAACAAAACACTTGAATATTCTAGAAATATTGCTCTTTTCCTGGGAAAATGGAAAACTACTTTTTATATATGTATATTTTTATGTAATTAGCATTCTATTCCTGGTTTGGGGGGTAAAAGTTTCCTAAAGCAATAATGTTAGATATTAAAGATTAAAGTTGAATGCATTTACGCTGCAGTGATTTGATGACTTCTTCATTCTCTCTGAAATGGTGTGCACGTTTCTGATCTACGTATCGGAATCGATCCCACCGGTACTTGCTCGTCATTTGTGTGCCACATGTTCACCACGCCCCCCCCGACCCCAGAAGCCAGTTTTATCATCATTCTCAGAGAAAATGGGGAGGATTGTATCTTGTGTGAAGGTAATAGAAGACCATATGCTCTTGTATTTATTTAGTGTCTTCTCTTTCACTGAACATTGCTTGGTGATTTGCTCTCAAGATTTTTCATCTTGCTGCAATGACCAGACTTACTGATAAATCACACTGTGGCCTTTTGTGGGTAAGGACACATGCGGCACATTCATGCCGGTTCCATCCTCCAGAGGCAAATCAATGCCAAGACCGCGTGTCAGTGAAGACGGGAGCGGCTATGGAACGGTGGGGTTATCAAAGGACATGCTCGGGTGGGGGTACAGTTTGAAAAACTAAACATATATTTTCCCCCTGGCTCCACTCATTGCGAACCACTGAAAACAGTACGATTACAGTAAGCTAAGCTTTTGAAAATCGCATTTCCTAACATAACAATTTGGCTATAAGCAAAACATTTTTAATTTGAGGAAATGAAATTCCTTCATATTCTCAGGTTAGAGCTCTAGTTTTTATTATTTGCAATCATTCTTTCACCCCCCAAAACTAATCTTCCATCTAAAAAACAAAATGGGAACCCACCACTAACAAACTGGTGTATATTACATATTTTTTGTTTTGTTGAGGGGGCTTGCTTAAAATCAGAGATGTACCCGTTGTTTTGTGACTTGCCCTTTTCTCAATATATCTGGACATATTTGCATTATAGTAGACCGCTCCTTCGTTTATTAGCTGTGTGATACCTAACAACTATTCAAACCTCCCTCCCTCGATAGAGACATGGAGCAGTAACTAGGAAAGTGCCAGTTCCTGCGTCGGTCAATACTGTCTACATGCATGGAAAGTCGGGGCAACAATGAAGCATTCTACACGTCACATGTTTCAAAATGCTAAGGCACAAGGGACATATGTCCCTTTGCCACCCAGTTCCTGTCCCTGGAGGTATTGTGTCAGTTTCTGGGGTATCCATCTGGATATTGAGTATATAAGGAAAGCATATTGTTTTAGTTTGCTAGGTTGCCATAACAAAATGCAGACTGTGTGTCTTCAACAATGGGCTTTTCTTCGCTCACAGTGCAGGAGGCTTGGAGTCCCAGATCAAGGCACTGATAGGTTTAGTTTCTCCTGAGGTCTCCCTCTGGCTTGCAAATGACCTTTCCTCTGGGTCGTTCGCCACCCCTATCTCCATCCAAATTTCCTCTTGTAGGAACCCACCAGGGTGAATTAGGGCTACCCAAAGGGGCCCATCCCAACTTAATCACCTCTGGAAAAGGCCCAGTCTCCTAATACAGCCACAATCTGACGGTCTGGATGGGGGCTAGGTCTTCAAACGTACACATTTGGAGGGAAGGGGAACAATTTGGCCCATAACTTGTATGTGTAGGTATTTACAGAATGCGCAATTTTGGTACTTGTATAGATTTAACTAATACCTTAGTGTTTTTATAACTGTTAAGCATCTTTTGAATGAATCTATTTTCAGATAAATGCTTAAGGATTAGATTAGCCGGCATTCAAGGTCTAGGGCTGCACAGCAAAAATGATCCAAGGAACAGGACTTGGTGTGTGTAGACAGGCTTACAGAAGGGAGTAATCCCGCTTTACACGGTGACTTACGGGGATCTGGTGAAGGGCAGCTAATACACCAAACCTGGTATTCAAATGGGACAGCCGAATAGCTTTGTCCGTCAGAGAAACTGCAACTAACTGATGGGAAAGCTCTGCACACAGCAGCAAAAAGGTAGCTGAGAATCAGATTCTTTTGTGGAAGGGAAAAGGTGCTTTAATTGGCTGGTATCACCTATACACGGGGAAAACAAGAGTTGGGGACCAAAGCAGGGGGTGCAGGAGTGGTGGAAAGAGCTGCAGAGCCCCTGAAGCAGGTGGAAGAACTGTCGTTCGGGGAGAGGGCACGTGTTTGATGGAGTACTGTTGCTCGCCACTGCGTACTGGGCCATCTGTGACTGTGTGCTCCCACGCTGTCTGTGAACGTGGAGCCTTTCAGTTCAGTGTTAATGGCGGACTACTGAGCTCGGAGAAGGGACAGACGTGCACTTGACTATCGCTGTGCAGAAAATGGAAAGGTACAGCTTCGTCAGTGGGTTCCCTCTAGTTTTAGTCACCTCTTTCCCCCTTGTGAAAAATCGTGTAGTTGAAGCTAAAAAGACATCCTAGATGTTTTTCCTCCTTAAAGGAAACTTTGTTGTACATTTCTATAAAAACCTGGGTAAGCTTTCAGTCAAAAAATGGGCCTGGGATTCTGAAAAGTCACCCAGGTGGACTGCCCACCAGGAAGTGCTTTTGTGACTGAAGAGAAAGGACACAGGGGCTACCAGGCAGAGACTGGCGGTCTCTGTATACACGGAACATGGGGGCGACAATGCAGCATTCTGGGGAAGGACAATCCAGGTTGCTGCATCTGGACCATGTTGGGAGTGCTAATGATTACAGATTTAGTGCTGACATACCTGCGCTCAGTGCGGCCTGATGCCCAGGGTGCTGCTGATGTCCCTCCATTGCTCTGGTGTTCTGGAACCTTCAGTACAATCACCTACTAGCAGCTCTGTGCTGCGCCAGCTCTTCAGCTTTCCCAATGATCTTGCTGTGGTTTCCCCCTCACACTGGTCCTGGTTCTGTCCCATCAGCTGTTCTATCCTCATTATACCCGGTGCTGCTTTTCCCCGCACCTTCCTGCCCAGCATGCTTTTCTTCTGCAGCCGACCAGCTCCTGTGCTCATCACTGGACTTGCCTTCCAGCTCCTTCAAAGATGCAGGCCTCCGTGAAATTCGGTACTTAACTGCTGTAATGTACTCACACACAGCTCCCGTTACCCGTTCCTATCTCACCCTCACAAGCCTAGAGAAAAGGATCCCTGTTTTCAGGGCACTGCTGCTGTGCAACTGAGCCAGCACCTGGTCTGTCTCCACCCTAGAACTTCCTACGGAAACACCCTGCTGGTGGCCTGTGTCACAGCCTTCTGTGTGACATGGTCATTGAGGGCAGATCAAACTATATGTAAAACATGTGTTTGAGTCTCTCTAATGAGCATGGCTGAAATCACTCCCGGATTTCTAGCTGAGTATCTTTTTCTGCTCCCAAAGCTCTGGCACTGAACTCGAGGCAATCTGAGCTCTGTAAACACGGGTTGCAGGTATGTATTACTTTGCAGACCGTCGGTAGGGAAAATGGAGCTAAAACAGTAGTGGAGGCAGGATGAGCAGCCCTTTAAAAACTCGATGTTAAACTTCCACAATCTTGGAGAAACATCTTTATTTAAGGAGTCAAAAAAAATGGATGGGGGAAAAATTATGGTAGTAACTTCACACCAACACATTAAGACCAAACTTACAATTACTTGTGCAAGTTATGCAGAATGGAACAAAACTCTTCAAGCGTTCATGATTAGCACAGAAAATCTGTGGTTATATTACTTGTTTCTTGATTGACATTTACTTATTTACTCATTCACAGTAAGAGCCCACATGTGTTACAGTACAAGAGACCACTCTTGCCCCTTCCGGTGTACAGCTCGGAGTGCAAATGTTAACATAATACAAGCTTTTCTTTGTTTACAATTCTAAAATTGCCTTACAATTATTTACTAGCACAGATATCAAGAGGTTCATTTCCAAGGGTGTCCAACCTTTTGGCATCTCTGGACCACACATTAACTACATTGCAACACATAATTGCACATCAAAAAAATCTCATGTTTTAAGTAAATTGATCATTTTGTGTTGGGCAGCATTCATAGCCATCATGGGCTGCATGTGGCCCACAGGCCTCAGGTTGGACACCCCTGATTAGCATACAGTCTAAGGGAAAGGAAATAAAAGAACACCACCTGGCACTTTGGGCCCAGTCTCTCATTTTACAGACATGGATCCTGGATTCCAGAATGACAGCAGGGTCACTGTCCCCAGTCTCAGGCAGGCAGGCATATGACATTGGATACTGCAAAAGCTGTTTGCTTCAGCTTCTTGAGTAATGCTATGCATAATGCCTATACATTTTGATAACATCTCCAGATGTACAGGTAAGCCCGTGTACCTGCTATCAACTTTACTCCCCACTGCAGACGCTGACTGTCCTCCAAATCCTGACAATGACATTCAGTTCAGGACTGTTACATCAAGGTCAAGCAATCTGAATGTGGAAGTCAAAAGCTTATTTTCAATTTTTAAAATAAAGGTATTTCAAGGTTATGGATAAAGAGCTCCTTATAAATAATTATTCCTAAGGAAATATTGATCTACTGGTAATTCCAAGAAAGTGAATGTACTATTTTAACTATAAAAGTAACTTCATTAGGTTCAGATAAATTGAGATTACAAGTAAAATTTTTCCAGTCTATTTAATCAAGTAACTTACAATGTACACATTCCTGAGTATACCCCATTGTGGTGACATTATTTCCGAATGTTCCTGCATTCAGCTTAAAAGGTGTTTCTTCCCCAGAAACTGGACTTTTCTGTCAAATGCACTGGATCGAATAGGAGAATTGGGTTCATAAAAGGGATTCATTGCAAACTAGGAAAGAAGAAAGTATTAGTGAGTTTGTCAGAGTAAAAAGGCTGACAAATCATAGGTCTCTAAACAGTAAAATTAAATCATCAGACATTCAAAACAAAAGTCTGAAAACTACATTTTCCACTTTTAAGTTCCCACGAAAATGTGCCATTGTTAAACAGTACCTGTGGCCACATGGTAGGTGTTGCCCATGTAAGTGAAATGAACTTTCAGACTTCACCCTGTGACTAATCTTACATTCGCTGTAAACGTGGATCAATCTGTAAGGCCCTTTGGCTACATAAAATACAAACTAAAAACTTGCCATATGATCAGAGACAAGAAAAACTTACATCTCAC